ACATGGCCGTCACCTCCTTCAGCATCAACTCGGCGCGGAGCAAAGTCATCGACTTCACCAGCCCCTTCTTCTCCACCAGCCTGGGCATCCTGGTGAGGACCAAGGACACGGCGTCGCCCATCGGAGCTTTCATGTGGCCCTTGCACTGGACCATGTGGGTGGGCATCTTCGTGGCCCTGCACATGACGGCTCTCTTCCTCACCCTGTACGAGTGGAAGAGCCCCTACGGCATGACCCCCCTCGGCCGCAACCGCATGAAGATCTTCTCCTACTCCTCAGCCCTCAACCTCTGCTACGCCATCCTCTTTGGGCGCACCGTGTCCAGCAAGACGCCCAAGTGCTGCACCGGCCGCTTCCTCATGAACCTCTGGGCCATCTTCTGCCTCCTGGTGCTCTCCAGCTACACAGCCAACCTGGCGGCCGTCATGGTGGGGGACAAGACCTTTGAGGAGCTCTCGGGCATCCATGACCCAAAGGTGGGAGAGGGTCCGGGCTGCTTCAGATGGGGTGAGACAGGGCTGAGGTCCAGGGAAGGGGACAAGGAGGTGGGGGTCTGCCCTTCTTGCTGCACCTTCCCTGATGGGATGCTCATCAAAGGTCCCCACAGCCCAGGTCCTGTAGCAGAGAGCTTGGGACGCGTCTGCAGGGAGCTGGGGCTGTTCCCGACTGATGCTCTGGTGCCTCCTTCCAGCTGCATCACCCCTCGCAGGGCTTCTGCTTCGGCACCGTGTGGGAGAGCAGCGCCGAGGAGTACATCAAGAAGAGCTTCCCCGAGATGCACGAGCACATGTGGCGCCACAATGTCCCCAACACCCCCGCCGGCATCACCATGCTCAAGTGAGGGGCCAGGACACCATTTTGAGGGGTTCCCCCCACTTTTACCTCTTCCAAAGAGCAGGTTTTGCCCCATCCCTTCAGCCTGTGCATCCCCCTCACCCCTGGGGCAGCCCCATCCCTGAGGGTCCCCCTGTGCTGGTGCAGGACGGAGCCCCCCAAGCTCAACGCCTTCATCATGGACAAGTCGCTGCTGGACTATGAGGTCTCCATTGACTCTGACTGCAAACTGCTCACCGTGGGCAAACCCTTTGCCATTGAAGGTTTGGGGGGGCAATGGGGGGCTGC